TATTTATACCCTAAACTGCCCCAAACTCCCAAGCGCAAGACCTTCAACTAAGAGGCGGGCGCAGATGATGAGGGCCAGCTGAGCATGGACCGATTTTACAACGTCATGCGCCACGGCGAGCCAGCAGATGATTCCTGAGCCGAAAAGGGAACGTCGTCAAATCGGTAGTAGTTTCCGTGGAGCACCTTGAAGCCCCAGTTTCCGGATACTGGACCTGAACCCCCGAAACCTTGCATCTTTCCTAAACCCTAAAGCACCCTACAGCCCAAACCCTCAAGCTTGAGTAACCCTTAAACCCTGAAGAATAAGCCATGTCAACCCTCGTCGTCCTACTCCAATCTCCTGCCTAATGATCCGTAAACCCCTGAAGCAAGCGAAGGGTCTAGTTGTACTCGTGTGAGCCATGGGGTTGTGTGCGTTTTCATGGTAATGGCACTTCGTTTTGGGCGACGGCTTTGCCTAAACCCTACAGTAAACCCTAAACCCTAAACCGTGGTTCGCTTCTAGGTTTAAGGGCTTGGGATTTCGCAGCTTCGAATGCGAAGAGCCCGGCAGTGGCAAGGAAGTCAGAGGTAGGATGCCTTTCAGGCTAGCGCGCTTGCTTTGCCGTCAAACGGCCATTGCAAGAGGTACGTAGGTGTGAAGACTTATTTTGGCGATCTTAGCAGTTTGTGTTTGTAGTTCACCTGGGTTTCACCAAACTCCGGTGTTTCAGCACTGGAGCCCTTTGGCTTGCAAGCAGTCTGTTCCATTGGCAGTTTTGGCTGCGAGTAGACCCAGGCATTTTTGTGTATCCCAATACCGGCGATGGAAATGTGATTTGCTTCCCGTGCGGTGGGGGAGCCCGGCGCCACTTCGGTGGAACTGAAAGGAAGCACAGAAGATCCGATGCTAGGTGGCCATTTGGGAATTTTTGAAGCTTCCCTTAGGGTTTCCATAGAGGTACCTGTTCATAACTACTTTTCAGGGCCCCAAAACTACAACCCAGGATCTCACGGAGCAGGAAGAAGCAGATCGTACCTCAAGGCCCTTTGCGCTGCAGTTGCGGAGTCAGACTATGACTGTGTTCTTGTTAAAGGAGGCTGTTTTAAGTTACCGTAATAAAGAAGCCCCAGTATTTACCATAGATCCCTGTACCTTAAGTTTTCAGTTACCATAATAAAGAAAACCTATGATTTACTATAGATCCCTATATTATGGTAACTTAATAACTTAAGTTAAGTTCCTTAACAAGAGCCCAGAGGGTTCTAGTAGGTTCCCCCTCGCGTTCTTCACCCGGAAGGTCGGAAGCTCCAAGGATCCCCCAAAAGGAATCCCGCAGCCTTACACTCTAAACCCTAAATGGAGAGTTTTCTAAATCAGGGTCCCTTCTGGGGTCCATTTTAGAAGGGTGCCGTGCTGTATTGGGGAGCTAGCAAGGGGACCAAAATTTAGAGAGCTACCCAAATCCTAGACCCTAAAGCCCGAAACCCTAAACCCTGAACTCGAAACCTTAAACCTTAGACCCTAAACCCCTAAACCCTTAAACCCTAAACCCTACACCCTAAAGCCCTAAAAAGCCAGGATTGAGTGGAGCAGACTCCTCGGCGATTCTGGCTTGGATTCCTTGTCGGAGCCAGAGAGCTCATGGAGAAGGCAAGCCAAGCCAGAGCCAGAACCTGAAAGCCCAGAACATAAGGGGCCTTAATAGTTAGGGTTTAGGGTTTAGGGTTTAAGGGTTTAGGGGTTAGGGGCTAGAGTAAGGCTGCTATAACGATAAGGGAATTGATTATTCCGACCTGAAAAGTAGCCCCAAGCGTCAAATGCCAATCTCGAGCTTCCTAAAGACTAGAGCACGACCCCTGAAACACCACGGGAAGAACAAGAATAGGGCTTTGTGGATTATCATACTGCAGATATACGCGAACTATAAGGGATATTATCATTATTAGTTTTCTTCTTACTGTTATTATTATTATGATTATTATTATTATCTTTGTTAGTATTCTTTTTCTTAGTATTGGTTCTTTACCACTGGTTCCGACCTTCGGTGCAGGCACTGCGATCCCTCAGGCAGCTCTCCGCAGGCTTTGGGATGGAGCCCGCCGTCTTCCAGGCCGCCGCAAGGGTCCCGGCCCTGGACGATGTGGGGATGGAGGCGAAGAGCTGCAAGGAGGAGGCACCGACAGGGCTTCAGGGTTTGAGGGGTTTAGGGTATTGGGGTTTAGGTTTTTCTAGAGTTTAGAGGTTTCGGGGCTTTGGGGTTCAGGGTTTTGAAGAGAAGTCTCGGTGCCCTAGGCCTGTAATGTAACCTGCAACTATATATCCTTCTTTCAATCTCGAAGCCCTAAAACCCGAAATGTTCGTCTTGAATTCTGAATCAATTATTTTCCCGAGCTTAAATCCCAGACTTAAACTCCCTTCAAACCCCAAAAAACCGCCAAAACTCTCTCCAAACCCTCAACTGCGTCTAAACATCTTAAACCTGACCTCTCCCGAAACCCTGAATCAGTTTGGGTTTAGGTTTAGGGTTTAAGGTTTAGGGTTTAGGATTTAGGGTTTAGGGTTTAGGGTTTAGGGCTAAAATCAGCAGCCAAAAGCCTTGACAAGGGCTCCGACAGCGAGTCCGAGGCGGAGTTCGAACCTCGTCTCGTTGCTTACGGGCTTTCTGCATTTGCGAATCCATGTCCATATATATACTGCTCTCTAGATAACTACAAATATAAATATGAATACAGATATAAATAAAAATCTACAAATAAACAAATAAATAAATAAAGAAGCAAACAAATAAATGAATAAACAAATAAACAAATAAACAAATAAATAAATATAAATATAAATATAAATATAAATATAAATACATAAATAAATAAATATATATATATATGTGTATATATATACACGCATATACATATACATATATACATATGTATATAAAAGATGCATACATACACAGATAGGAGATTTGTTTGTAGTGTAAGTGTGCAGGTCGGTAAGCATGTAGGTATGTGTGCGTATGTGGGTAAGTATGTTGCTATCTATGTATGTAATGTAATTATGTATCTATGCTTGCATGCATGAATCTGTTGTCTGTTCATGTACGTATAGAATGGTATTATTTATGTAATGTATGCATGTGATGTATGCATGTAGCATTTTGACATAGTGTATGTATGAAATAGCACATGCATGCATGCAGGTCCGTCTCTCTGTCTGTCTGTGTGTCTGTCTATCTGTCCGGCCGGCTGGCTGCCTGGCTGGCTGTCTGGCTGTCTCTGTGCATGCATGCGTGCATGCATGCGTGAATGCATGTGTGCATGCATGTAAGTACGTCCGTGTGTCTGCATGTGTGTATGTATGTATGTATGTATGTATGTATGCCTATATGTCTGTATGTCTGTATTTATGTCTGTCTGTCTGTCTGTCTGTATGTATGTATGTATGTAGGTATGTATGTAGGTATGTATGTAGGTATGTATGTATCTATGTATGTACGTATGTGTGTGCGTTGTGTATGTGTATGTGTATGTGTATGTGTGTGTGTGTGAGTGTATGCGTATGTATACTCGTATGTACATGTACTTTTGCATGTACGTGTATATGTATATGTACTTGTACGTTTACGTATATGTACATTTGCACGTATGTGTATATGTATGTCAATGTATGTGTGTTGTATTGCAATAAGTGCAGTGTATTGTAATTTATTGTGCAATCTTATTGTATTGTACTGTACTGTACTGGACTGTACTGTACTGCACTGTATGGTTTTGTACTAGAGTATTGTAATGTATTGTGTTGTATGATCTGTTAAGTAGGTAGGTAGGTAGGTAGGTAGGAAGGCAGGCAGGCAGGTATGTATGTATGTGCGTATGTATATATGTAAATTAGCAGATATGGCGTTTAGGGATTCGTGTTTAAGGGTTCGGGCTTTTCAAAATAACAAAAGGGTTTGCGGTTTCAGGTCGGTGATTTTCGGGTTTATATGCGAGGCGTACCCGCAGGCGATCGCAGGCGCATGCGGAATAGCTCCCGTTGTGGTGCAGTACATAGTTTGTGCTAGCGTCCCTACTTGTGCAGTCCGTGGACCCGGGTGCATGCCGGGGCACGTATGGCTGCGTGTAGTTAGTTAGTTAGTGTGTGTGTGTGTGTGGTGTGTGTGTGGGGTGTGTGTGCTTGCGACGTACTTGCTAAACGGGCATTTGCCGTTTGAGCATCTACGCTGGCCTACTGAGGTTCTAGCTTCGTCAGGGTTTGGGTTTGGGGTTGTTCAGCAGCTTTCTCAGGATTCCCCACTAAACGGTTAGGATAGAGACTCCGAGAGCCACGTTACGAGCATAAAGGTTTAGGGTCTCTTTAGGTGGGTGTGGGATTGTGGGTACCGGGTCCCAAATCCTGAAGGGCGCACACGGCGTTTGCCAGAACCCACCCGATGAAGATCCCGACTTCAGCGGCGTGTGGATACTTGGCGTGCCTGTGGGGCACTGCGCCCGTCTGTCGTTTGACGCCCTGGTGGAGGTGGTGTTGGAATTGCCAATGTTGAGTGCGCATCTACGTGTAGCTGTAGCTGTTCCGCGTGCTTTGGCTCGACGGATCGTGTTTCCAGGTGTAGAAGGAATTTTTGTGCCACTGAGGGTTTTGTCATTGTGCATAGACTTTGCAGCTCGGTGTCGCAGCCACGCTGGCTAGCATGGTTTGGAGCCGTTCTCGATTGCACGTGCGTATGTCTGCGTGATTGCTCAGATGACTGCCGGACTTGGCGTAGCGCTTCAGGTTGTGCTCACTTGGGGCGAGCCCAAGCGCTCTGGAGATACCCCCCCCAACAAGTTCACGTGTCGCTGGAGGGGGGACCCTTTTCTTTCCCCGCCACCTTGCGACAGCAGGCAGCAAAGTTGCCTCAACTACGCGAGCAGGTGCAGCCCGCAACGACACGCTTTCTTGAAAACTTTCGGCACCTGTAGCGGTGTAAGAACATTAGGCGCGAAACACTAATGAAGCCGTGGATCCCTTGATCCAAGGAGCCAGTGGACCCTAACGAGCAGAGCGAGCTCTACACGTGGGGCCGGGCCACCAACTACCAGCTTCTTGAATCCTTTATGGTCCCTAAACCCTAAACCCTAAACTCCTAAACCCTAAACCCATGCAAACATTTGGAGTTCAACCTGAACAAATGGGAGCGCATCAAGAGTTGGTCATCGAAAACAGCAGCAACAGCGGCCGAGAGTCCGAGAGCTTCAACATTTTCGTGTCATCGCAGCGGAGGCTTGGCTATGGGGCGGGCACCGAACAACAGATCCCGAAGCTGGCGCGGCAGCTGCACACAGGAGAGCTTGAGGTTTCGGATGAAAGTTTTAAGGGATCCACAAGGGCTATAAGGATCCCATAATGATCCCATGAGGGCTGTGTAGGTTCTGTGTGGGTTCTATTGCGGCTGAAGGGTTCCATAAGGCTTCCATACAGGTTCCATGAAGTTTTCCACAGGTTTGGGCCTCAGGGGGTTCGGGCTTTTGGACTAGGGCCTAGGGTCTTTTTCAACGGAAAGCGCAAGTTTTGAGGATCTTTGGCTTCTAGCCAACAGGGTTGAGGTCATAGCACAGTGAAGAGTCAATGCCTATCCAAGACTGTAACCACCGCAGACCCTAGACGTAACACCTAACTCCTATATAAATCCTAAGTCTTAAATCCCAAGCCTATCCACATTATTGTATTTCATTCTTCCTTGCAATTGCCATGCTTCAGGCTTGGAGCGTTTGGGACGGCCGACGAAGCATCCGAGCCCGAAGCAGTAGGGTCGAGGGCCTAGGAAACCTTGGTCCAAAAAGCCATACCTCCTGACAGCCTAAACCCTAAACCCTAAACCCCCATGAACGCAGGTGCAGCTTCCGAGTGCCAAGCTGGTGACGTGGCTTCGCCCGCAAGAGAGCAGGGTTTCTGACACATGGTTTTTAGGTTCTTTGTTGAGAGTTTTAGGTTTATAGCGGATATATGGCTTTTAGGTTTTTGGTTGAGAGTTTTAGGTTTATAGCGGATATATGGCTTTTAGGTTCTTGGTTGAGAGTTTTAGGTTTATAGCGGATATAGTGTTTTTGGGTTCGTGTTGAGAGTTTTAGGCTTCTAGCGGATATATGGTTTTTAGGTTCTTGGTTGAGAGTTTGAGGTTTATAGCGGATATATGGCTTTTAGGTTCTTGGTTGAGAGTTTTAGGTTTATAGCGGATATATGGTTTTTAGGTTCTTGGTTGAGAGTTTTAGGTTAATGGAGTTTAGGGCTTACGTTTTGCAGTGTAGGGCCATCCTATCTGCCCGGAACACCTTCTCCAGAGATCCGGGACTGATTCCGGGACCAAGCAGATGTGCTACTGTTGATGTTGTAAATCCAGCCATCACCTCAAGGACCCTAAGCTATGGGAATAACGGTATATGCCTTAATGCAGGATTTATATCATCATTCGTAGTTGGTTAAGTAAGGCTTGGACGTCTGTTGGACCGAGGAAGGCCGAAGGTTATGGACGCAGGGACTCGGAAGCTGTACCACCCGGTTTAGAAGCCGTATACGTATTGAAGAATTCTCGTACATGCCCGATGTTTTTTGATGTTTTCATGGCTCCCACGCGAAAATGTCAGCATCTTTGCTCGGATTGTGGGAAAGTGTGGGTTGAAATGGAGAAACCGGTAACCTTACAAGCGCACCACCCCAAAACCTTGAGCCGTGATCCCTGAGCCCTTATCGCTGAGGATGGTGATGCTTGCGATGCTGCTGCTAATGATGACGGTGTCCTTGCAGTTGCTCTTGTTTCTGGAAATGATGATGATGATGGCAATTGCGACGGCTTGTCCACAATCCAAAAGCCTTGATGAGCATGAGCAATATGGAGGCCTTAATGATTCGAGCAGGGGTTTGGAGTATACCATGCTATAATTGTAATAAGGATCCCCCAACAAAGTATTGGTACTTATTTAGGCCCCTATATCATGTGTATCTTGAGACGCAGCAGACACGACACTTATTGTGACGATGATGCTGACGCTGCTGATGGTGCTGTGGTTAATGATGGTCCGAAGCAAGCAAGAGCCTGAACGTTGAGATTCTGCACAGCACTAAGGTGATGCCGGCAATGCTTGCCGAGTTGTCTGCCTTCTTGGCTGCTGGCTGCTGCTGCTGCTGCTGCTGCTGCTGCCGGTGATGATGCTGCTGACGATGACTGTGATGTTGTTGATGATGATGCTGCTGCTGATGATGATGCTGAAGGTTGTGGTCATCGTAAGCGAAGACGGGCAGTGTGCCTATGATGATGATGATGATGAGGAGGAGGAGGAGGATGATAGCAACCATCGACCTCGATTGACCTGCTCTCGAATCGAATCATGCCATCCGTGTATCCTGGGCTTGCAATGCACTGATGGACCCAGGCAGTTGTCCTGCGGCCGTTTCCACAGCACCGCAGTGACTGCGTGCGGCCGCTTGTCATTGTTTCTGGAATGTGAACTCCTCTAAAGAGAGGTGCTTCCTCTCCTAGTACCAGAGCTTCCTTGTTGCCGGCTCCTTGTTTCTTTAAGACTGTCGGGTCTGCAGGATCAGCGAGCCTGAGACGGGGGGGAACATCTCCGACAGCCCAAGAATCGCATGGACTTCGCAGGGCTTTGCAGGGAACACTACCACTGTTCCTCCCCAAAGGCTAGCAGAGGGGGATTCACGGACCTTACCACGGAGGTAACAAGAGGTCTCGGTCTTCGTGGAGTCAGCACAGGATGAGAAGAACCAGCAGTAGGAAACCTGAGGGGAGGAAGCCTGGCGAGGAGGGAGGAGCATGTTTGCAGAGACGATGATGGCAGCAGCCGCCCCCGGCAAAGACAGCATCAGCAAGAGCAGCAGGCATGAAGCAGCAACAGCAAACGCATCAGCAAGCTCAACATTACTAGCAACTACAACGGCAAGCGCAACAGCAGCAGCAACGGTAGACAAAGCAACAGTAACAATAACGCGATCAGCAACAGCAGCATAATCATCACGTGCCACCATTTAACATTCATGTTTCTCGACTCGCAGCAGAGGGTTCTGTAATCTCGCAGTCGCAACTTCGCAAGCCAGAGTACCCCTAAACCCCTCAGCCCTAAACCCTGAGCCCTAAACCCTTCGAATGCCTAACAGCTAGCGCTCATGCATGGCTCAGACCCTAAACTCTAAACTTTTGAACCATAACCGTTCAGTATTAAACCAAGAGACAAGGCCGCGTCTTCACGTGGGGTGTGGGTGGCGCCAGTGGAAGACTTGGCTTGGAGCTATCCAAGAAGACAGAGGCAGGGTGAGGTAATATAGGGGCCCTGATAATTACCTATACTATTTTGGGGGGTCTCTTATTATAATTATAGTATACTTGGCTCCAAATCCTATTCTTATTATTAAGGCCCCTTTTTTTTTAGGGTTTAGGGTTGGGTACAGGGGCTTGAGGGATTGGGGATTGAGGCGCTGAGGATTTCGGATTCAGGGGTTTGGGTTGTGGAGGCTTTCTTTTTTTTTTGTTTTGCCGTTTAGGGTTGAGGGCTTTAGGTTTGGGCTGAAGTTTCCATAGATTGTTCATCTAGGTTTATGTCATATTTCTGGATAAGCTACATAGTGTTGTGTATATCAAGATACATGTGGCATTGAGAGTGCTCGTATCCTGAAAATCACTTCTGTGTGCATGCTGATTGTTCGTAGGCTCTGAATGACTGTTCCGATCTTTCTAGTATGTTTGGTGCATGCGCCAAGAAATGTATTCCAAGTGCTGCTGCGACGATTATTACTGCGGCTAGTGTCACCCAGCAAGTGCTGGCATCGTTTCTTACAATCTCGGCTTTCCTCATGAGGACCAAGATGACGCAAATCAGCCCTTTCGGGCTACCGGGGGACTATAGTACGCTTACATGAAGGAGCTCCTGCGGAATAAGATGAGTCATTTACCCATAGGCCCCTAAGCAGTTCCTTTTTGGGGTTACCTTATAGGCATCTAAATATAAGCCATAAAAAGGAGCTACTTAGGGGCCTATGGGTAAGCACGTTTAAGCCCTGCAGTGGGGAGTGCTTGTCGTCTGGATATGGTGGCGACTCCTAGGGGGAGACCTCAACTTACTTAGACGGTTTAGGGTTTAGGGTTTAGTAAACCTTTGGTAAACCCTAAACCCTAAACCTCGTAGTAAGGGGAGCCCTAATATTGGTACAGCGCTTGCTTGAAGCCTAAGAGGCTCTTGAGTACAAGTCTAGCATAATGGACCCCCCCCAAAGCCCTATACACTACAGTACGATCTCCGAAGTATAGTATACCAAACATCAAAGCCCCATTCCTGAGTACACAGGCGGCCCCCCATACTAGGCAGCTCCCTCCCAGCCCCGAAGCCCCCCGAAAATTTGCCCCAAACACGAAACTCCACACCCAAAATCCTGAAGCCCTACGTCCGAAGTCCTGAAGCATAAACAAATACAGTCTAAGAATCTAAAACCCTCAAGCCCTGAAGCCGAAATCCTGCACCCCGAAGCATAACGCAGAAAGTCTAAAACCCTACACCCTAAACCCCTAAAGCCCTAAACCCCAAAACCCCTAAACCCTAGAGCCCTAAACCCCAAACCCAAAACCCCTAAAAACCTTAAAACCCTTAAAACCCTAAAACCTTAAAACCCCTAAAACCCTAAACCCCTAAAACCTCTAAACCCCTAAAACCCCAAAAGCCCTACAATCCGAGACCCCTAAAACCCCTTAAACCCCTAAAACCCTAAAGCCCTAAACAAGGAAACCCCCCAGAAAGCGGAGGCTTTAACTCTAAACCCTAAAAGCCCTAAAGCCCTAAAGCCCTAAACCCTAAACCCTAAACCCTAAACCCTCAAAGCCCTAAAACCCTAAACCCTAACCCTCCAGCCCCGCGGAGGCGGTGGTCGTGGAGCCGATGGCCTTGCCGCAGTTCGGGCCCGGCTCTGGCCTCAAGCCGGGTTTTAGGTTTTCTTTTGGTTTTTAGGCTCTGGCCTCAAGCCGGCCTGTTTTGGTTTAGAGTGTTAGGACTCTAGGGATTTTAGGCCTTTAGGGTTTAGGGGTTTAGGGTTTTAGGGTTTAGGGTTTAGGGTCTAGGGTTTAGGGTTTAGGGCCTTTAGGGTTTCGAGTTCAGGGTTTAGGCTCTAGGGTTTTGGGACTTCAGGCTTTTAGGTCTTTAGGGGGTTTGGGCTTCAGTCGGCTTCAGGTTGGGGGTTTAGGGTGTCAGGGGATGGGATTCTGTAGGGAGCCTAGAAGGGTTCTGCAAGGGTTCGGGATCCGGATTCCGGGTTCAGGGTTCAGGGGCCCGGGATTATGAAATGTTGATGCTTTCGGTCGTTGGTTTCTAGGTTTAGGTAGGGTTCAGGGTTTAGGGTTTAGGGCTTTCATTTCTGCATTTAGAGTTTTGGGCTTGTATTTCAGGGCGCGGAAATGATGGGTTAGGGTTTCCAGGAATGATGGCTTTCGGAGGGGTTGAGCAATCCGCACTCATCCCAGGCGTCAAGGCCCATTGCCGGGCTCTCGATGTCTACCTCGATGATGATACATCATTTGCATGGGCGGATAGGAGCATATGAACCTCCAAGCCGTCAGTGCCAAAGCCGACACACTGTAATCCGGTAATACAGAGGTCTGAATAGGTAGAGTAGGCTTCCTTGACCGGGCTCCTCTAAGGGCTCTATTGTGTGACCCCAGCGAGGTCGGCATCACGCGACGAAAGCTGTGGCCGGTTTGAACCACACTTTGGCCCTCACAAGCGCTGGGAAGCTGCTGGTGTGGGGTGCCAACGACAAGGCCCAGGGAGCGTGGGGCTACGGGAGTCTCGGGTTTGGGGGGTTCTGTGGAGATTTTTTTGAGGTTTGAGCTTCTGGGGTTGTAGGGCCAGGCTCAACTTGGACAGTTCGGAATGCGGAGCTTCGGTTTTCGCGGACAGCATTGGCAGCTTTTCAGAATGTCGACCCTAAGCCACCCAGCTGGGTGCGGTCGCTGCATGGTGGAAACTTGTCTGTCCAGGGCAATTTGTGTTTAGCATCGCCCCCGGCCGTCGTCGGCTTTTCCAAGAGGGGATGGCTTAGTGCCCGGGCAGCCACCGGATCATCCCAACATGCAAACTTGCGAGACTGGGGTGATGTCTGCAGCCGTCGTAAACGCTCTCGCCCAGAAACAGAAGCCCAAGCTCGCTGAGGGGCAGCTCGGTTGTGGACAGCCAGGGGAGACAGCATTGCAGCCGGTGGTGATGAAGGCGGGGGTGATTTCGGTGCCTGCTGTTGCGGTCGGCACAATTACGAGTTGGCCGTAAGCATGCGCTACGACTAGCCACAAGAGGAGCTGAAGCTCGAATGAGACTTAGTAAGAATTTAATGGTGGAGAAGCCGAAGTTTGGGGTGAGAAGTGATGGGTATGAGGCTGTCTGCGGTACGAGTACGTAAGCAGACTGGGTGATTGAGCCAAGCCTGATAACGGAAAGGACACACAATCGCCGTCGTGAAGCCAGAAACTGTATTAAAAGTCACAGTTTTCAGATTGCAAACGAGACGCAGTTTCGGGGTACCGTCAGTTACAAATACAAACGATAGCAGCACCGACCATGGCTGTTGCATGCCATTGCCGAACATGAATATTCTGAACATCCTATGCATGAAACGGCTTTGATGCTGGGTCCTACCAAAGATTTCCGTCAGCTGTTGCCGTGTGCCATCGCAGGTGGGGCCCTTTCAGAAACTCCGTGTCAGTGACATTGCAGCTGGAGCTACGCACTCCCTCTGCATCGCGGGGGAAGGCAGCGTGTATGCCACCCGGACGAGGAAATGGCCTACACACCCACCCTCAAATCCTGAATCCTTCATCCTGAAGGGTAAACCCTACATCTTCAATCCCTAAATCCCTAAATCCGTTACCCTAAACCCTACATCCCAAAACCCTAGACCCCAAATCCTAGGCCCTTCCCCCAAAGAAACACCCGAGAGGCTCGGGAGTTGAGACCTTTTCCATGCGGCAGCACCCAAAAGGAGTCAGGCAATGCCAAGATTTCGACTCACAAAGCATACTTGAAGGGTTTAGGGTTTAGGGGTTTAGGGTTTAGGGTTTGGGGTTTAGGGTTGAGGGTTTGGGGTTTTGGGTTTAGGGGTTGAGGGTTTAGGTTTATAAGCACTGGCAACCAGCGGACAATTATCCAATAGCTGCGAAACTCATATGAATAATCTGGTGAGCACCATGATAGTTTTTGCAATAGGTGTAGGAAAGGTGGTGTGCGAATTTGCTGCAAAGGTTCTGGCCTTAGTATGAGCAATACAGCAATAGCACTACTCATCACAATACTAGCAGTGACGGTAGCAAGAATACGAATCGGACGATTGGTGTGCAGCGGAATTAGATTAGCAGTTCTAGCAGTCATGATTAGAAGAGCAAGTGCGAAGGAATTGAAGCTACTATCTCTTGTACCAGCTGATGATAGCGATAATAATGATAGTGGCAATAAACAAATGCCAACCACAATGGTAAACAGCAGTAGCAACAATAACAATGCCAGTAGTTGCAGTCATAAAAATAAGCGAGCTACCAATTATCATGAAGTATACAACAACTATATAACCATTATTGTTACCCTAAACCCTAAAGCCCTAAACCCCTAAACCCCTAAAGCCTTAAACCCCTGAAGCCCCTAAAGCCCAACCACTCAAACCCCTAAACCCCTAAACCCCTAAAGCCCTAAACCCCAAACCCTAAACCCTAAACCCTAAACCCCTAAACCCCTAAACCCCTAAAGCCCAAGGCCTGGGGCTGCAACGGCCGGGGAGCTCTGGGTTTGGGAGCTCCACCCTCGGGGCCCCTACAGGCCGTCCGGTTTCCGAGGGCTTCTAGGGGATTCAGGGTTTAAGGGTTTAGGGGTTCCAAGGATTTAGGGTTTAGGGGTTTAAGGGTTTAGGTTTCAGGGGTTTATGGTTTAGGGTTTAGGGTGCAGGGTTTTAAGGTTTACTAAACCGTACGTACGTACGTACGCATGCACACATACATGCACTTGCGCATGCATGTATTCTATCTGTGTCTATCTTTGTCTCTTCTATTCTTATCACCTGTCTATGCATCTATCTATCTATCTATCTATCTGTCTGTCTATCTATCTATCTATCTATCTATCTGTCGATCTATCTATCTATCCTTACACGTCTAGCTGCGCAGGCGCACCGAAGAAGCTGCAATGCACGGGTATTAACCAACAAGATTCTGCACGAAGGCGTTGCATGCGCCTGCCAGGTTGCACAGCCTCAGAGCCTACCGCACCTCAAAGCTGCCACTCAGATGAGATCTTCAGTTTAGGGTTGAAGGTTGAGGGTTTAGGGCCACTTAGATGAGATCTTCAGTTCCAGGATTTAGGGTTTAGGGTTTAGGGCCACTCAGATGAGATCGTCAGTTCCAGGATTTAGGGTTTAGGGTTTAGGGCCACTTAGATGAGATCGTCAGTTCCAGGAATTAGGGTATCTCGTGGGCTCGAGCGCTCATCCACTCGCCGTCGACCTGCATATGCCAACAATTCGCTCATTGACTCACTACATAGCTTGCTAGCTATCCCTCCGCAAGGTCTCTCGCTCCCTCACTCCACCGTGCCCCTCGTTCTGTCCTCCTTTTCTGCGCACCTCCCTGTCTTTCTTTCTCGACTTGCGTCAACGTGGAGACAGCATGCAGAAAGTGTTACCCTGCCTCGACCAAACGGGTTGAGATGTGGCATGTGCAGCTGTCGGTTTTGACGACTTTAAACCCCCTAATAATTAGAATAGGGTTTGGGGGGGTTCCTTATCATAATTATAGCATAATATACCCCAAAACCCTATTCTAATTATTCCAAGGCCCAGGTCCCAACTCCCGAAATGTCGGGCTCCGAAACTTTAGGCCCGCGGATCTGAGGCGACGTGTGTCGAGACGAATTCCGGGGGGACCATCAGCGTGTGCCTGGTTGGCTCACACGGTGATGCCATCATCTTCGGCGGCTCTCCAATCGCTGCAGCTTGATTGCAGGTTAAAGCTGAGGCAAAAAACATCCTTCCCTTCTAATTTCCTAAGCCCTGATGCCTAGATTCAAATACTCTTGGCCCAAGTTTCACCTTAAGCCCGAGGCCTGCTTTCTTGAAGCCGTGAATTTTCGACCTCGATGGTTTCTACCCTACGGAAGATCCAAAAGCATGCTGACAGGCTTTAGGGTTTCGGGTTTACGGCGGTTTAGGGGTTTAGGGATTTAGGGTCTGGATTTAGGGTTTAGGGTTTAGTAAGGGAGAAGCGTGCTGACAGGCAGCGGCAGGTGACAGCCGGAACCCAGTCGACAATCGCTTCTTCACCCCCGGACGTGTCCGTCGCAAAGACCCAGAGCTCTCCGAGATGAACGGAAGTGACGATTGGCAGCTTCAGCGCGGGACGCAGCTGAGCCCTTTGAGAGCGATCTCGGTGAGTGACAGCGAATGCTTCTGGGCTTTTGCTGAGGGACTTGCGCTAAGTTGCGAATGCCTAGAACTTGTGGTATCCTCTTCTTGTGGTAACTTGTAAGAACCTTGAAGAAGGCAAGCCTATTACCTGTGGTATCTCCCGGTTGTGGTGGCTCAGTTCCCTGTGAAGAGCCCAGGCTTCGGCATCGATTCCGACGGCCTCTTGTGGGCCTGGCCGACGACATGCCGGCCAGTCACGGCCGACCTGGTGGCGCTGAATCTTACGAAGGCGGTGCCTCCTTCCAGGCTGCCCAGTGCCCCTGAGATAAGAGATTCCGGTGAGTTCGTGATGATCGAGACGGATGGCCTTTTAGAACCTGAAAGAATCCCACCCTCTGCTCTTGAGACGGATCTGACAGACAGGCCGCGTGAGATCGAGATTGCGGGAGTGAACGCGATCGGACATGCAATGAAAGCAGGGACGATGTGGGCCGTGGATGATTCAGATGCCCGCCACCTCTGGCAATTGAAGCGCCCTTCCAAGCCTGACGGCGACTGGGCCGCTGAACGCTTTGAGCACCTGGCGCAGGTTTCCTGTTTCGCATGTGGCCCTGAGCATCAGGCAGCAGTTGTGAAGTATACCACACCCTGCTTCGACGAAGCATCCCAGGCGGCCGAAGGTGCACAGGCCGTGGTCAAGCCCAAATCCAACGTCCTGTCCTTGCAGCAGCTATGCGAGAACAAGCTATGTGCAAAGCTGAGCCCGCGCTCTTTCGGTCTTGTCTGCGACATCGCTTGGGAGCTGAACCGTCCGACGCTACTGGACCGTGCATTCCGTTTCCTCTGCGCGAATGCGCCTTTGATGTTCTCAAGGCTCCACTTGCCTATGCTCTCCCAGTCGCTGGGCTCTTGTGAGAGGATTTGGGTTCAATTATCATTATATTGACATGCAAGTCCGTCAGTCCGTCTGTATGTATGCATGCATGGATGTAGGTAGGTAGGTAGGAAGGAAGGAAGGTAGGAAGGAAGGAAGGAACGACGGAAGGTCGGTAGGTCGGTAGGTTGGTAAGTAGGTGGGCATGTAGCCGTCAACAGAGCCAGAATTAAACCTTTGATTGTTCATAAGTGTGTGTGTGTGTGTTATGTACAAATAGACATATAGACATATATACAGATATACATACATACATACATACATACATACATACATACATATGCATACATGTACGTGTATTCATATCTGCATAGATGCATACACATATGTATATATATATAATATTTATATATATATATATGTATGTATATATATATATACATATATATATATATTTGCATACACATGCATGAATGTGTAGAGCAGGTTTGGCGCTTAAGTTCCTTGACCAGAGCTCAGGTTGCCCATGGAGGTGCTCGCTGCCTTGGAGGTCGCGGCGAGGGCGATGCATCCGGGCAGTGAGTCCGCGGATGCTTTGGAGGGAGAGGCTCCCGGGCACTCGGGGAGCCCCGAACCCGAGGCTTCTTGGTTTCGGGTGCCGGCTTTGTAGTTTTAGGGTTTAGGGTTTTGTAGTTTTAGGGTTTTGGGTTTCGGTTTTGTAGTTTTAGGGTTTCGGGTTTCGGTTTTGTAGTTTCCGGGTTTAGGTTTTTATCTTTCAGGGTTCGGGGTTGGGGGTTTAGGTTTTAGGGTTCAGGAGGGTCCAAGGCTTTAGAGGGTCCGGGGTTTAGGGTTTAGGATTTAAGGCTTAGGGTTTCAGGGTTGAGGGGTTTTCGGCTGGGGTATTGGGGTTTGCTAGGGTTCAGGGTACATTATTCAGGGTTTTAGGGCATTGCAATGCTAGAGTGCCCTACACCCTACACCCTAAACCCTAAACCCTAGGGGCTACGGGCCCGACATCCAGGCTCCTTCCCCTGGCGAGTCTGAGCTCTTCATGGGTCTCGGCGAGGCCTTTGGGGGTGAGGGTTACCCATCCACCGTTTTGGTCGACGGGCTTGGCTGTACTGTGGCATAGTGTACTGGCTACATCAAGTTGTCGTATTGTTTGAGTACCGAGGTTTAATAAGTTCATTATCTCCCCCATGGCTGGCAGTTTGTATTGCGTCCCTATGGGTTAAGGGGCCTCCACAAATTAAGCCTTCAACCTTGCATGATCAATCCTCAGCCCTCAACCCTAACTGCTAAACCTGAGCCCTCAACCCCAAACCCTAAAAACTCAACTCCTCTACCCTACACCCAAAGCCGTAAACGCTCAACCCTACCCTAAACCCTACACCCAAAGGGCTATGCCGTACACCCCAAGCCCTAAACCCTCAGCCCTACCCTAAACCCTACACCCAAAGCCCTATGCCCTACACCCAAAGCCCTAAACTTTCAACCCTACCCTAAACCCTACACCCAAAGCCCTATGCCCTACACCCAAAGCCCTAAACCCTCAACCCTACCCTAAACCCTACACCCAAAACCCTAAACTCCTAACCCCTAAACCCCTAAACCCTAAACCCTAAAACTTTCTAAAGCCTAAAACCCCTAAAGCCCTTAAACCCCCTAAAACCCCTAAAACCCTAAACTCCTGAGGCCTCTGGGTGCCCGTTTGGGCAGGAGGACGAGGAGGCGCTGAGGCGGATCGAGGAGTCCTGCCGGAGGCTTGGGCTTTTCTGGTGGGTTTAGGGCTTTTAGGGTTGTTTTAGGGTTTTTAGGGTTTCTAGGGTTTTTTAGGGTTTTTTAGGGTTTTTTAGGGTTTTTAGGGTTTCTAGGGTTTTTTAGGGTTTTTGGGGTTTTTAGGTTTTTCCGTTTAGGGTTTAGGGTTTTTAGGGTTTGGAGTTCAATAAGGTTTGGTTGAGGGCTTTTAGGGTTAAGGGTTCAATAAGGTTTAGCTGAGCTGCCAGGATCTGCAAGATTCAATCTCTAAGCGCCGAACGATCTGTGAGCCACTAGCTCAAAGGGTTTAGGGTTTAGGGAAACCCTCAACCCGAAACCCTAAACCCAAAACCCTCAACCCTTAACCTACACCTAAACCCTAAACCCTAAACCTAAACCCTAAACCCTAAACCCTCAAACCCCAAACCTAAACCCAAAACCCTAAACTCTCAGCCGCCTAAACCCTAAACCCTCAACCCTCAACCTTAAACCCTTAAGAACTTCCCGGAAGCACCAAGGAAGGGGCGCTGGTCCACTGCCGCCTCAGAGGTGCTGTCTTTGCTGGCCGTGTCCCTGCCCGGGACCCCGCAGGGATTTCAAACTGAGACACCCAGAACCTAAATCCCCAGAGGCCACAGAGTTTAGGGTTTAGGGTTTAGGGTTTGGGGTTTGGGGTTTAGGGTTTAGGGTTTAGCAGGGTTTAGGGGTTAGGGTTTAAGCCATTACTGCTACTTTCCCAACGACTAGAAGTGAACTTATGCTTGCTCCCATGGCAGCAGTCGCCCTAAGCCCTCCAAAGCCCTAAGCACTGAAACCCTACACACTGAACCCTGAGCCCTGAACCTTTGGAGTGTGGACCGGGACTTGCCCAGAGGACAGCCGGGGGTCAAGGGCCCACAGCCGAGCGATTGGGCCTGGACTTCTCTGCCGCGGAGGCGACGCTCTCACGGCGGCTGTTGGGGGCTCTTTGGAGGGTTCCTTCAAGGGTTTACTCCAAGGGTACCTTTAAGGGCTACTTCATGAGTTTCCATGCGCGTTACTTTAGGGGCCTTTCGTGGTAGCTTAGGCCCTTTGATCTGCGATGTCTTGGAGTTTGGGGTTCCTCTTACAGGCCTTCCTAACGCGGGTCCTATTGCGTAGGGTTCTTAGTTGGGTCTCCTAAACCCTAAACCTACAAACCCTAAGCCGTTCTGTTTCATGAAGCTTCCACGTGGGTTTTGGGCCAGGGGTGGTTGCCAAAATCCGGATAAAGCCCTGGGTTTCAGGCTTAGGGGCCTTGAACACCCAAAGCCTTAAACGCCACGGCACCCTAAACCCTACTGTATGAGCCCTAATCCCTAAACCCCAATCAATCCCTAAACCTCAAAACCCTAATCCCTAAACCTTCTAAACCCTAAACTCTGAACCCTAAACCTTACACCCTAAACCCTAAACCCCTAAACCCCTGAAGCCTTAAAGCCCTAAACTCTGAACCCTAAACCGTAAACCCTTTAAGCCCTACATGCTTTGCATTGCAGGTTCAGAGCCTCCAGGAAGAACAGCTCGAGGCCGAGACCAAGAAGAAGAAAAAGGCCTCCGCTGGCACCTCCCCGGCACTGCCGCAGACGCCCTGGCATAAGGGCTTAGGGTTTAGGGCCTTTAGGGTTTAGGGCCTTTAGGGTTTAGGGATTTTAAATTTTACGGTTTATGTAGGGTTTTAGGGGTTTAAGGGGTTTAGGGTTTTAGGGGTGTAGGATTACGGGTTTCAGGCTCTAGGGGTTTAGGGGCTTAGGGTTTGGGGTTAAGGGTCTTACAGCCGCAACCCCAAGGGCCCTCAGCCGTGGGGCTTTTTCGAGGGCTTTCTGGGGGGTTAGCGAGATGGCTCATGGAGAAATCCTCCAAAATGCTAAATCCTAAGCCCTAAACCCTCAAAGCCCAAAATCCCCAAACTCACAGGACCCTGAATTCTGAGTTCTAAAAACTGCCCAGGAAATCCTCACCCGTCTCCTCCAGAGCCTCGCCGAAGTCTGCAGCCGTGTCGCCTTACGTGCAGCCGGAGAGGAGCAGCCCAAGCATCGAGGTACAGGACTGCTTTTCGGGTTCTAGGGCTTACTTAGAATAGGGCTACACGATATTACTTTTTGGGCCATGATACTACATAGTATATACTAACTACCATGTATTTACCATGGTTTAGAAGAGGGCTACACGATATTACTTTTTGGGCCATGATACTATGTAGTATATACAAAAATACCATGTACGTACCGTTATACCTTTGGTTGTTGAGGACTGGGTGGAGGTTCGGAGCAAGCCGCGCAAGGGCAGCCAAGAGCTGCCTTTGCAGAGCCCAAAGGCCAAGCCCGTGGAGTCTCCGCTTTTGGCGGCGAAGAGCAAGAAGGCACCAATGAAGCCAAGCCTCCCTTCGGAGGAAGGGACTTCGGCTCGGAGTTTGCGGCTCTCCGACTTCATGAAGCCCCGGGAGCTTAAGGGGAAGGGGAAGGGCCCGAAGGGCCCTCCTTCGGTTTCAGAGGAGGTCTCCATGGGGCCTTCGCCCATGCTCGTCTCTGCGGTATCCGCGGTGGAGTGCAAGGAGAGGGGCCCAGGGCAGGGCTGGGGAACGCAAGGACCTCAGGCGGCCAAGGCTTCCGTGCCCTTGCCGGAGATCATCGAGGAGGAGTCCCGGGCCAAGAGCAAGGCCGGCTTCGGGAAGACTGGTCGGAATTTCTGTAGAATATCATGTTGAGAGTGATTCTCAGTATGGTGAGTATGGTTAGTGTATCAGTATCAGTATCATGTGCTAGCGCCAGCGCTGGCACGAGCGCGAGGACGAGCGATCATCATCACCGTCACCATCATGAAATATGACGTTGCCTTTTCCTGATCTATTTCGTTCTCAGTATCAGCATCATCATCATCATTATCATTGTCAGCATGGTTACCATGTTCATTGTCGTTATCATCATCATCATCATCATAAAATGTAGCATTATCATTGTGAGTATCCCTGTCATTAAAATTATCATTCTCATTCCCACTAGTCGGTTCCTGGCTATTGATTCGTTCTTGTTCTCAACCCCAAACCCCAAACCCTAAACCCCAAACCCCAAACCCTCAACCCCCAAATCCCAAGTCCTAAACCCCAAAGCCTAAACCCTCAACCCCCAAAGCCTCAACCCTCAACCCCAAAGCCTAAACCCTCAAACCCCAAACAGAGCCTCTGCACCAGCCTCTTCGCCGCCTCAACCCTCAATCCAGGTGAAGGCCTCCCAGCGGAGCGCCAAGCAGGCCAAGATCACCACCTGCTCCTGGGGCCGGGATGCCATCCCATCGGAGCAGCCGAGGAATCAGTCCATCGATCAGATCCAGGAGCTTAGGGGCCTCTTCGGTTTGGAGTTTTTGGGTTCTGGATAGCCTCTTCGGTTTGGAGTTTTTGGGTTCTGGATGGGCTCTTCGGTTTGGATTTTTGGGGTTTTGGGAGTTTGGTAGGGTTTTTGGAGGTGTTTTCGGGTGTAGGGCTTTGGCAAGTATCATGGGTTCTGACGCTACCTCCAGGAGGAGGAGGAACACATCCGCCAGCAAGACGAGATCGCGGAGATTGAGGCCATGTTCGCCGCTTTGGAGGTGGGTGGTTTCCAAACATCCGATGCTCCTTCGCAACTGCTAGAACCCTGAAGCTGTGGAGGCTAAGCCCAGGTGGGAGTTTTGCGGAAATAAAGGCAGCCCAGTGCCGAACCCAACTAGCCCCGACACTTAGTACGAAGACCCCAACGAATCAGGATTTGCTAAGGACCCTAAACTCGGAGCCCCAAAACCCCAAACGGCAAGACTCGAAAGCGTAAGATCCGACACCTTGAACCCTAAACCCTAAACCCTAAACCCTAAACCCTAAGCCCTAATCAAACCCTAAACCCGAGACCAATCCTTCAGGTCGCCGAGATACAGGAAACACTGGAGCGTGAAGGT